TTTATGGCCACAAGCGATAAATAAACAATATGATACAAAAAAATGCAAATTTCGTCGCTAATATGGCCAGATCAAAAAAACTACTTATACACAGCAGAGAGAAAAATTTACATCCTTGGAGATGATCTTGCAATCATTTACTGTTTACACCCAACCGTGGCGGCAATAGTGTCCTAAAACTTTGTATTATACTCCGAACTACAAAGCCGCGGGGTGTACATAATTCGAACGCCACATTTTCCTGCACAATTTCACCTCTTGTAATTAACCCCGGAGATTAAGGTATTTATTAACCGTTTTATTGCCACAAGTAGACAAACGGATAGTTATAGAATATGATCACACCTCAGTAATTCGCACAGCCAATCTTCCACTCCAGTGTTCAAGAAAGGTCATCATGAAAACTCCATTATCGAACCTGTTCAGATCAACATATTTTGACTCAGAAATATGGACAATATACTAAACTGATAGTAGTACACATTGTAATAGCAAGGTATCGGGGTCGTATTGAAAAATCCCATATTTTACATGCTATCGAATTTGAATTTGATGAGGGACTGATGAGGGACATCAGCAATTTCGAATTTGAAACTTGCAAAGCCAATTTCCATCCCAAATTTAGCTGTCATTATCAGTTCAAGGGTACGTTGCTGCATGAAACATAGTCAAGTAACTCTTTGTATGATAAAAATTAATGAACAACTCCCATAAACAATCATACCAAGCGCTTTAGAACTGTAATATCTTTGCTCTTTGCTTGTTGTGGGTCAGGGTCTAGCAGATGGACCATGCGATGTGAGACATGGAAGGAGTACACAAACCAGTACCTGTCTACGCACACAGGAACAAGAATCTGACACATAACAAAAAAATAATTTTTCATCAGCACTAGCATAATAGAGTAGTTTACTAATAACTTGCCAATATATACAAACTCATCAATAGTTACGATAAGGTTATGTCCATACCAACTGACACTTAGATGGATCAGTCGTTTTATCAGGGCCGCGGATCTTGAACAACTTCATAAGCTTAGTAGTTAGGATGTCATCAGACTGTGATTCGAATTTTTGAAGATTCAAAATGCCATCCTGTTAACAATCAGTACAAGGGGATATAGATGTTTAGGGTGATTTTCACAATTGGTAAAAGATTGGTACATGCATTTGTGTGAAACTTCTATAATATTTTATTGAATGGTAGCCATTATCTAACAACAATTTTAATGCTTACAACTACTATAGGCTTGACAATATAACGTTTGATTCTACTGGTTGTGTTAGTCTCCCCACCCTAGTATATATGCCGGGCAAATATGTCCATAACCTGCGTATTCACAGTACAGTAACAGAATTGGTTTAGTTACTGTCATTTGGAAAATCTATCGCTTTACCTTACCAAACCAACACAATGTATTATTTCTCGGGTTGAAAAAATATGCCTAACCCGAGTCGAGACATGCATGCCATCAGAAATATCAATGGTAGAGATTATGGCATAAGATAATGGCAGAAATTGTAGCAAAGATTATGGCATAAATCATGCCCAAGATTTGTTCATTAATTGTGTATATATATTTACCTAGAATAGAATATCAGTAATTAGGACATTAGCTGTAATTAGCTATGTATAGATGACTACCTAAAATAGATTGTAAATAGATTCTTATTTAAGGGAAATGATCATCAAGGAAAAAGGCATTCAGCCAATTTACTCAGAAATTGTCATGGTACCAGAGCTAGTCTCTTGAATCCATAGCTGAATATTTGAATCATTTAGTTTTCTGGGTTGATTAATTTCTAATCAACATTTTGGCTTTGAGATTTTTTTTTCTCTCTTTCTCATTTTTAAGAATGTCTATTGAGAATTCTTTTGGAAGCTCACCTACAGAGACTTCGGCTATCAAATTTACAGGAAAGAATTATGCGGCCTGGGAATTTCAATTCAGAATGTTTCTGAAAGGGAAGGAGCTTTGGGGTCACATTGATGGGACTTCTCCTGCTCCCGACAATGAGAAAGAACTTGGTCAATGGGAGGCAAAGGATGCTAGAATTATTTCTTGGATTTTAGCTTCCATTGTTCATATGGTGAACAATTTGCGTTCATTTGGTACAGCTAGGGAGATGTGGGGTTATCTGCAGCGCATATATCATCAGAATAATACTGCAAGACGATTTCAACTTGAACACGAGATTAGTATCTTCAGTCAAGGTAATCTCTCTATTGAGCAATATTATTCTGGATTTATTAATTTATGGAGCGAATATTCTGGTCTTATCTACTCTAAAGTACCTAAGGAGGCCTTAGGCAGCCTTCAACAGGTTCATGAAGTTAGTATTCGTGATCAATTTTTGATGAAACTGAGATCAGAATTTGAGGTTACTCGGGATGGATTGCTGAATCGCAATCCCGTTCCTTCTTTGGATGTTTGTCTTGGTGAATTATTACGGGAAGAACAGCGATTGGCTATACAATCTGTTCTAAGTGCATCTGGAGGGACATCAGAAGTTGTCAATGTTGCTTATGCTGCACAAGGGAGGAATAGAGGAAAGGGATCAATGCAGTGCTACAGCTGCAAGGAGTTTGGACATATTGCTCGCAATTGTGGTAAGAAATTTTGCAATTACTGTAAACAGAATGGACATATTATCAAGGACTGTCCTACACGACCAGAAAACAGGCGAACTCAAGCTTTTCACGCTGCAGTTTCAGATCCTACTGTTATTGGTTCTCCACTTACAACCACAAGCACCAATCAGGCTGTTCTTACTCCAGAAATGGTCCAACAGATGATTCTCACAGCATTTTCTGCCCTTGGGCTTCAGGGCCTAGGTAAGACAATCTCTTCTACTTGGTTTGTTGATTCTGGAGCATCCAATCATATGACCGGCTCTACTGATTCGTTACAGAATTTGCAGCCGTATACTGGTAGACAAAATATACAGATTGCTAATGGTAGTAATCTTCCAATTACAGCCATTGGTAATCTTGGACATTCTTTTCGTCATGTTTTTGTCGCTCCTAAGTTGTCTACTAGCTTAATTTCTGTTGGTCAGTTGGTGGATGATAACTGCAATGTCAACTTCTCTCGTGATGGTTGTCGTGTGCAGGATCAGATAACGGGGAAGGTGATCGCAAGGGGGCCTAAAGTGGGAAGATTATTTCCGTTGCAATTTGCTATTCCTAAACCTTTATCTTTAGCCTCTATGATTGTTGAAAATAAGGCTGACGTTTGGCATAGGCGATTAGGTCATCCAAATAATGTGATATTATCTAATTTGATGAAGCGTGGTCTTCTTGAAAAAACAGATCAGTGTTCTACTCATGCATTGTCTCTTGATTGTTCTACTTGTAAGTTAGGAAAGAGCAAAACTTTACCTTTTCCTACTTATGGTAGACGTGCTAATGCATGTTTTGAGATAATACACAGTGATGTTTGGGGCATTACTCCTGTCATTTCACATGCGCATTATAGATATTTTGTGACGTTCATTGATGACTATAGTCGGTTCACATGGATATATCTTTTGCGCACCAAAGCTGAGGTATTTACTGTTTTTCAAACTTTTGTGGCTTATATTGAGACACAATTTTCCACAACTATTAAGATTTTCCGATCTGATAATGGTGGCGAATATGTGTCACATAACTTTCAAGCCTTCTTGCAACATAAAGGCATTCTCTCTCAGCGATCATGTCCTTATACGCCCCAACAAAATGGGGTTGCTGAGCGTAAAAATCGTCACTTGTTGGATATTGTTCGAACATTACTCTTACAGTCTTCAGTGCCGTCTACATTTTGGGTTGAAGCTTTGACAACTGCAGTGTATTTGATTAATCGTCTGCCTTCTCAACAATTGGGTTTTGACTCTCCTTATTTTCGCCTTTTTGGTGTCCATCCTGATTATCACATGTTACACCCATTTGGCTGTGTTTGTTTTGTTCACTTGCCACCTCATGAGCGTCACAAGCTTACAGCCCAATCAGTTCGGTGTGCTTTTATGGGTTATAGCACCACTCAGAAAGGATTTTTATGCTATGATGCTGTTGCTAACCGTTTCCGCGTTTCTAGAAATATAATTTTCTTTGAACATGAGTACTATTTTCAGCAGAATGTTTTGCCTTCCAAGCGTGTCCTTCTTCCTAGCTTTGATGATATCTCGCCACCAATTGAGCGTTTCAAACCCGGCATTGTCTATCAACGACACAGGGCCCCATCATCACAAATCCTTCCCGACCCTAAACCAATGCCTGCTCCAGTGGTTCTTCGAAGATCTTCTCGTATCCGTCAACCTCCTGCTAGGTATGGCTTCTCTGCCACTTTAGCTATTACTGCAGTTCCTACCTCTTATTCTCAAGCAACTAAGCATGCATGTTGGGTAAAAGCTATGCAAGAAGAACTTCATGCTCTCCAGGAGAATCATACTTGGGATATTGTTCCATGTCCTAGTGGTGTTAAGCCCATTGGTTGTAAGTGGATCTATTCCATTAAGCTACGGTCTGATGACTCACTTGATCGATATAAAGCGAGGTTAGTGGCACTTGGTAATAAACAAGAATATGGAATCAATTATGAGGAGACATTTGCACTCGTCGCAAAAATGACAACAGTGCGCCTTGTTCTAGCTATTGCTGCTTCTAAGGGCTGGTCATTGCGACAAATGGATGTTAAGAATGCCTTTTTGCATGGGGATCTTAAAGAAGAAATTTATATGACTCCACCATCAGGGTTATTTTCTACACCTTCATTTGATGTTTGTAAGTTGAAACGATCACTCTATGATTTGAAACAGGCTCCACGTGCTTGGTTTGATAAGTTTCGTTCTACGCTTATTAATTTCTCATTTGTCCAAAGTCAGTATGACTCCTCTTTGTTTCTTTGCAACACACCTAAAGGAATTGTCCTACTTCTGGTATATGTTGATGATATTGTTATTACAGGGACTGCTACTGACTTGATTTCTAAGCTTCAAGATCATCTTCAGACTTCTTTTCATATGAAGGACTTGGGTCCTTTACAGTATTTTTTAGGTCTTGAGGTGCGTTCCACCTTAGCTGGTATCTTCTTACACCAGCATAAATACATTCACGAGTTAATTGCTTTGGCTGGCCTTCAAGATGGTCGTTCAGTTGATACTCCCTTGGAGGTGAATGTTAAATATCGTCATGATGAGGGTGATTTTCTATCTGATCCTTCTTTATATAGACAGCTGGTAGGCAGCCTCAATTATCTGACTATTACTCGGCCTGATATTTCTTTTGCTGTTCAACAAGTCAGTCAATTTATGCAAGCCCCTAGGCACCTTCATCTCGCCGCTGTTCGTCGCATTGTTCGCTATTTGAAAGGCACTTCTGCTCGAGGTCTTTTCTTTCAAGTCGACTCTCCTATTCGTCTGGTTGCATACAGTGATGCTGATTGGGCTGGTTGTTCTGATACTAGACGTTCCATTACCGGTTGGTGCATGTTTATTGGTAACTCTCTCGTTTCTTGGAAAAGCAAGAAGCAAGATCGGGTGTCTAAATCTTCTACTGAGTCTGAGTATCGGGCCATGTCCTCTGCGTGTTCTGAAATTGTTTGGCTTCGTGGATTGTTGGGTGAACTTGGGTTTCCTCAAATTGAGCCTACTCCGCTCCATGCAGATAACACTAGTGCTATTCAAATTGCTGCTAACCCAGTATTTCATGAGCATACCAAGCACATTGAAGTAGATTGTCACTTTATTCGTGAAGCATTTGATGCTCATGTCATCTCTCTTCCGCACATCACCACTGCTCTCCAAACTGCTGATGTGTTTACTAAGGCTCTTTCCAAACCTAGACATCACTTTCTTGTTGATAAATTGATGCTAGTTGATCACCCAGCATCAATTTGAGGGGGGATATCAATGGTAGAGATTATGGCATAAGATAATGGCAGAAATTGTAGCAAAGATTATGGCATAAATCATGCCCAAGATTTGTTCATTAATTGTGTATATATATTTACCTAGAATAGAATATCAGTAATTAGGACATTAGCTGTAATTAGCTATGTATAGATGACTACCTAAAATAGATTGTAAATAGATTCTTATTTAAGGGAAATGATCATCAAGGAAAAAGGCATTCAGCCAATTTACTCAGAAATTGTTAAGAAAGAGTCCTAAGGTCATCTCGTGTGAGAGAAAATTGGAACATTTGAATGAGTGTCTCCCTGCCATTACGCGAGACAAAAAGTTACTTTTAAAATTGACAGTTGTTAGCAACCATGTTCTACAAAAATATAAATGCTTTATCATAAAGTTACATTCAATTTCAGCCAACAAATAATAGCACTAATAAACCATGCATCCCCTAATATGTTTCATTTTACTACCTTATGCTAGTTCTTCATTATAAAAAGTAGTAAAAGAAACGTAACTTGAGAGAAATTTTACAACCTTATTGTTAGAATTGATACCATTTTAGCCTAAATTTAATTCCAATTAGGAGAGCATAAAAATGCATGAATTGATTAGGAATGGACTGGAGGGATGCACTTAACAAATAGTAGTACTAATAAATCCTTAAGTGACTGTATCATAACCTCATAATCGTATTATAAATACATAGGAACCTTACTTGGGATTCTTATTTACCTCCCATGCGAATGCAGCGATCCTTTTGTCGTAAATGCTGATTGTCACGTGTGAAGGCAGAAGGTACTCGGTTGACCGTAGCATGTTGCTTTTCTTCGTTGCCCGAGTTGGCCTGTTCTCATTCTCATCTTCAACAATTGCTGCAGATATCAATACATCAGAAAACATAATTCAATATGTAGTTCACACTGACAGAATAATGATTAGGTATGCGTGTTATACAAAAATTTAATGGGGCAGCACATTGCAATAGCGTTTAACCGATTAGCCAAGTATTCTTCAATTAATATGCAAAACTCAAATGTGTTGAGCATAATTCAGCCTCAATAGTATCAAGGTTTACACTGGACACAACATAATAAAATAAATTTGTGACTACTTGTACATCAAATTCTTGACAGCATTTTATTGTTCACTAACCTTTCCTTTTGCAACTATAAGACCGCAACTTTCTCGGTGTGTGTGGCCGATCCAAAGGATGCTCAATTCGAACAGGACCTGTTGAGCAATCATGCTGCATATGTTGTGTGGCTTCATTCGCAATGCGGTCCGAAGTGCTTGTTATATGGCCACTATGTGCTTCAACGGCTCGTGAATCATCTTGGATGATTATTGGGGTATCATTTGACTTGTACACACTGTTTAAAACGTCCTTCCCATCACTTGTGTTGCCAACATTTTCTGCCTCCTTCCCATTAGTGGTTCTCCCACTTTGCTCTTTTTCAATCGTCTTCTGCCCCATCGAATGTCGGTTTGTTGGTTCAATCTCATCTATTGATCTGGTTGGGGTCCCAATGTCATCATCATTACCGCCTGCATCTTGTTCTTTTTCACTATCTCAGTCATCGTCATCGTTGGAGTCCTTTCCTGCTTCTGCCGATTCATATTCCGAATGATCTTCACTTTCCATATCAAGATGTATTTGCTCTGAATCAGATAGCCTCTATTTCTGCTTTTCCTTTGAAATGACCTCTATTGCTACTGCTTTGGCCCTAAGATGAGAACATAGCATTTCTGCAATCTTTAATATCCTTCTTTGGCAACTCACTGTCATACTGTACACTTCTGAAAGTTTAGCCTGCTTATACATTAACAAACCATAATAAATAGCCCGTTTCGACTTAATCCAGAACAGATGAATTCATATTATGCATTGATGTGTATTACTTCCTCATGGACCTCACTAAATCTGCCTTTTCGCTTTCAATTGGTGAAATAATTTTCAAGAAGAATTATGTACACCATATACATGAAAATGCCTTAAGGTGTATTTGCCACTTGAATCGAATGAAATATACAATTAACTTTATATTTTGCATGAATAATATTCGAGAATTTTTTTCTTTCTCTTTTCTGCCATAAAATATGAAAAAAGCGACACGAACTGTTCTATGTTTCAAATGTAGCTAGATTATTGCTGAATACTAGTGTTATTTGTGATCAGCGTTCGAAAACTCTTGCCACCTTTTTACAAAGCTTAACAAACATCTCTGTGTACTTCTTTGTCCCGTAATCCATTTACAACTAACTTTCTTGATTTTGTATATCAAGCATAGCAAACGCAAAATGATTGTATGCTGTACGCCAAGACTTAATGATTGTATTTGACAAGATAACTTTCCTAAGTTATGTAGGTTTGGCTGCTTACAAATGCTTGTTCAAATAATAAAAAATGTATAACTTTTACTTAAGCAATAATAGCGCATAATGAAGTATCAATTTTAAAAGTTAGGCAGCTTACAACAATATCATGATGCCCGCTGTCCATCATTATTCCAACTAGCTCAGGGGGTAGTTCATTTATCTGTGCACCAGATTCAACCTCTTCCTCTTCATGCGCCCCAATCTACGAAAACAAAATCAGACCTTCACTTCATAAGTACATGGTATGTGTGGCCTATACATACAAACTAGTAAGTTACAATCCATCAATACAAAAAAAAATTTATCGCTCTTACTAGTTTTCCTTTTCCATAACCTCCGAGATTATCGATCTCCAATGTATCCCGCTCTGAAATTGAAGCATCTGTCCATGCCTTTTCTCTTGGTGTAACTCGAGCCACTGTGTGCTTTAGTGTTGTCACTCGATCAAGATAATGCATTTGCAATTCAATTGGAGACTGACACATCAATTATATCACCTGCAATTCAAGTACTATGCATAAACAACCTTCATGTGCCTAATTAAAATTTATTTTCGTTGCATCCCCTACTAGTTAGATCATTTACTAACTTTCAATATCACGTAACTAAACTTACCAGTAGGACAATCATGCAGCCTCCAACATATTGGTGTTGCTTTTTGCTTTTTTTCTGCACTTCTAATATCCTATTGCATAATACATTTCTAACGTACTCTGCCTAGTTTAATGAGGGCACCTCAGTAACCACCTTCATACAACCCCATAGCCGGATTTTATGCTCAACTCGTGTAGTTGGAGCTAATAGACATCCACAAGCAAATGCAACAAATAGTCGCTTGAACTCGTCCCCACCGCTCATGCATACTAACTCTTTTGGCAACTCTTTCCATTTGCATGTTCGGCGACTTGGTCCAGAATCTCCACCCTCACTGCTATCAGTATCTTCAACTGGTAAGGGGCCATCATTTGGGATGATTAAACTGATGTCTTTTGCTGTTAAGGGTAGCACGCCATCTCTATGTAGTTGAAAGCTGGTTAGTGTAGGATTAAAATTGTCGACCAACTAGGTTCCTATGCCATTCGGAATGGAGCGACACTTTATTTCCAGCAGCCCTCCAAACCCCATATCTCTGATTTGCTGTTTTTTTGTTTCATCAATGTTCGATACTAACCAAACCATCTGATTTGGTGAACAATGAATGGTGTACTTCGGATTCTATAATCAAGATCAAGCAGAAAAACTAGTTAGTTATAAACAGATTATCACGTAACAACCTATTTCAGCAGCCAAGCTTTGTGCTTACCTTAACCTGCTATTTTTGCGGTATAGTCTTTCCAAATCGCGTCATTTCTCTCTTATATTTCTCTTTCTCTTTCCGATAGTTCTCTTTTCGATTCTGTACTTCTTCCTCGCTCAACTTATCATATGCTGCTTTGGCCATTTTATTATACTGCATTGGATGCATATAAATGTGAATCATGTTATATGTAATTCAATATTTTCTAACACGGATTAATATCAGAAACCTCCCCTAACGTTTGTTCTAATCACATCTAGAACCCCCCAAGTTTTCGAAATCACACCTAGCACCCCCGACAGTAGGATGTGACAGGTTCTCCTAATCAAAAGGTGAGAAATTATCCAAAAATCATCAACATCTATCCCATGCCACAAACAACCTTAACTCATTCAGAGGCAAAAAGAAATTCGGATAAGTAATGTTATACCATAACCAAAGTTGAACGGCCATAATTTAAAAATAATCAATGCAGTATACGGAGACCAATATTCCACTACAAAAACTAAGAAGAAACTGCATACCAAAAAAGATAAAAAAAATCAAAAAATTCTTTTTAGAAACTGCTGATAACTGTTTTAAATTATGTAATATTTTTTGTACAAAGTGTAAATCAACACAAATACGATTGTTACATATTGGACCCATATCTACACTAACAACTTATCACACTTCTATTGTAAGGATGTACAAGAAGTTTATACAAAATTATAAAATGTTCAAAAAATATTACACTATTTAGGGATGATTAATCTAACAACTGTTCCTATCCCCCTCCCTAATATTAAATAGTCATGGCGTTTCCAGTAATGTTAACTTTTGGCAATGGACATAGTGCCATTGCCAAAATTGTAATTCCTAAGTCAGTAATAACACAATCTAAAAGTAGTTCAAAGATGATGGGAATTCATGAGTATATAGCATCCGCGAGCCATTTCTACTACACAATGGGGTATCGCAATCCGTATGTTTCGAAAACACCATTCGAAATATTAATAACTTAGGATTGCAGACACTGAGGATTGCAAACACCATTTCTAGACACTGAGGATTGCAATATTAATAACTTACAAACTCCATTCGACTAGGATGCAGAAAAAAGTTATTTATACGACCGCATATTCCCAAAAATGGAAGAGTAAGTTTATTTACAACTACAACCACATTCTGAAACTATTGCTGCCACTATGAGAATCCATACTCACATTTTTTATCTCCGTTCGGATCAATGTAACAGTTTTTAAACAATGTGTAACTCTACGTGAATTATTTGTAAAACTTAATAACAGAGACGTAATCTATTGTAAAGATATAC